TGAGGCCCTGGGTTTGATTCCTCAGCACCACATAAGCAGAAAAAGCTGGAAGTGGCACTGTGGCTCAAGTGGTACAGCGCTAGCCTTGAGCTGAAGAGCTGAGGGACAGTGCCCAGGCCCAGGGTTCAGGCCCCATGACCAACTCCCTCCCCCTCCCCCCGCCCTCCCCCAAGAAAAGGAGATCTAGATTTTTTTCATGGAAAAAAAATGTTATGAAAAAGTTGTTTTTTTGGGGGGGGGTTGGGGGGTGGGAATGTGGCTTACCCCTAGCAAAAAGCCCTGGATCGATTCTTTAGTACCACATAAACAGAAAAAGGCAGAAGTGGTGCTGTGGCTCAAGTAATAGAGCGCTGGCCTTAAGCAAAAGAAGCTCAGGAATAGTGCCCAGGCCCTGAGTTCAAGCCCCAGGAACAGCCAAAAAAAGGGAAAAGTGTTTTTTGTTTGTTTGTTTTTTGCTTCTTTTTTAAGTTGGTTATTTTCCTTCCTTCAGAAGGTTATTTCTCTGGATGTAATAAAAGGAATGGAAAGAACATAAGGGAGGTTGGGCTTGAATCTTATATTGCTCATCTTAAATGACATTCATTTACAGAGACAACAGAGCATAGGATTGGAATGTGACCTTTGGAGTCAGACTGCCTGGGTTTATAGCCTGGGTTTAGAGAGTGGTTTTAAGAATTCAGTGAAAATGTTTTTCTAGCTATGTTTATCAATCAAATTTAGGACAGTGCCTGGCACAGAGTAGATGCTGTGTACACATAGCTGCTACTATTGCAGAATTGTTGCCATGATTATTTGGAAAGAGTTTCTAAGGTATTTTACTAGAAATGGATCACTGGAGATCTTATGATAAGTATAGTCTATTTGGGATTTTTTTTTTAAATGAAAATCTCCATCTTAACTCTGATTCTGTTAGTTTATTTAAATCTAGTTTCTTTATGCCTCCTCCCACCTTTTTGTCACTACTGATGTATGAATTCAGCCTTGAGCTTGCTAGGAAGGTGCTCTACCACTTGAGCTGTGCTCCCACCAAATGTAAGGTTTTCTCTTCTGGTTGTTTATGTAATAATCTCTGTTCTTAATAGAGTTTAAGCTTACAGTATTTTTTTTAAAATAGCAAGTGTCACTTAAAAATAAACACTTTTAATTTCCAGGGTACTACTTGTGTTTTGTTTCTTTTCTAAAACTGTTTTTCATTAGTCTGAGAGTAGAGTTTTTTGTTGCTGTTGTTTTGTTTTGTTTTTGCCAGTCCTAGGACTTGAACTCTGGGCCTGAGTGCTGTCCCTGAGCCTCTTGATGCTCAAGGGTACCACTCTACTTGAGCCACAGTCCCACTTCCAGCTTTTTCTGATTAGTTTATTAGAGGTAAGAGTCCTACAGACTTTCCTGCCTGGGCTGGCTCCTAACCACAATCCTCAGATCTCAGTCTCTTGAGCAGTTAGGATTTAGGATTACAGGAGTGAGCCACTGGCGCCTGGTGATTTTTTTTTTTTTTTTAAACCACAGCATCGATGGTTTTAGTTACTATTTCCTCTGAAAATACTGTTAATTTTAGTCTGACTTCAAACAGAATGTGAATGTTTGCAGAATGGTTGCTAGACTGTTCTGTTTTATGTTTATGTTCCTTATTTTGGGGTCAAGTTGGCAATTAGACCTAGGTTGTATCATCAAAATTGAAGACATGATGTTAGACAAAATGTAAATTACCATTGATGGTAATATTACAGAAATCTTTATATGTAGCCTCCTATTTTCTAAAATTCATACCACCTAAGGAGGTTACCACATTACAGACTAAAAGAGGCTCTGACTGCTGTGTTATTTGTATAATTACCCCTCTGGGTTAGAGGCTCTGGGTGGGACGGTGCTGCCCTGCTACAGAATTGGTCTTGACTGGTGGCAGTGCACCTGTGGATCAGGGGACCACCACTGAATGTCTCTTTTAAGATGCTGCTTAATCCAGTGAAATATCGATCCAACTTTAGGGTTTTTTTTTGTCTTTTCGGGGAGGGGGTTGTTGTTGTTTGTTTTTTACCACTAATTCAAATTATGCTGAAAAAGAACAAGACTGTTGAATCTCAGAACTTGAAAACTATACTGGAATTTGGGGATCTTGTTCCACTTGTATTCTGATGTGAATGAGTGGTACTTTGAAACAGCAGAAATCTAGCCTGAGTAGATTGGTGCTGTAGAGTAGACTTTTCTAATAGTAAGGGTTCAACATTGGAAGGGGTCACACCACAGTTTACTGAATCTTTTCAAAATGAACACTGCTATGAACTACATTAGTCCTTTCAAAATTTGATTGTGGTTATTTTCTTTATAAGTTCTAGATGAACATGGAAAGAATGTTACCATCTGTGTGCCTGACTTTGGTCAAGACCTGTATAGAGATGAAAACTTGGTGACTGGGCTAGGTACTTTCCTGCTGATTGCATGTATCTTATATTCTTGGTAAGTCTTCAGCGCTTCTTGAAGCCAATTTACAGAGGGAAATTAGAGGGAAAGAATTTAAGTAAAATTAGAGGGAAAGAATTTAAGTAAGTTTCAACTGCCATAAGGCAGCCAAACAAGGAAGGAGAAAAATAAACAGAAGTAACAGGCTGGTACTACTGCATGAACTCTATGTATCCGCGCTCCATTTACCTTACTTGAATGTTGATTGGGCAAATAAAATAAAAACATACTACATTGGAGCACTGTTGCCTAATGACCTTAAAAAACAGTTGATTATTAGTGGCTGCAGCATTCTTGAAGAGCAAGGAAACACAAAGTGAGGAAGAGATAGTATGTGCCAAAGTATTCTGGCAACTTCCTCACCCAAAATAAATAGCATTTGTTCTGTTGATGGTGGGAAGAGGATAGAGTGCTGCACAAAAAGTTATTCTGGCACAGTCCAAGAAAGGAAATGTCCCACCTTTTCTGTGCTGAACCCCACAGTGCCGGCAAATGGGTGAGGCAGGTCTTCTCAGTGAGATATATACCAGTAAACTGTGTTTTCAGATGCGTATGGTGGGGGCTACTGTACTTTTGAAACATTTCAGTGATTACTGGAGAGAGAAAAGGCAAGGATCAAAACGGTTAGCTACTTATTCTGGTAGGTGTTTCACTGGTAATCAAGCCTCCTTTTGACAGTAACCTTTTCACTGATAGATTTTTTTTTCCCCTTAGTGTGTTTTGTATTGTGGTTGTTACAGTATGTAAGAAATTCAAGTTGTCCTGGGCATATTATAATCTTTCTTTTGCTGAAACCAAACAATCCTGAGGGTGACAGCTTATATAAATAGTGTCTTTTCAAGCACATTGACACTTTCCTCTTAGACTCCACAGCGAGGCCAGTAAGAACAGAGACCTTTATGGAGTTATTGCTCAGTTTTTTTTTTTTAAAGTACTTGTTTGTGTTGCAGTGGTGAAAGCAATGATTGTCTAGCATTGGTCCTCAGTCTGTGATATCATCACCTCATGACAGCTTCGTTGTTGCATCAGCAGAGGCTGTGGTAGCCATTTCTATCCTTGTATTTTATTTTTTAATTTAATTTATTTTATTTTTGAATCAGCATACACTTGTAATATGAGGCAGTCTCATTGTGATATTTTATATATGCACACAGTGTACTTTGAACAGATTCACCCCTTCCACCATATTTCCATTCCTCTTCTCCCTCTCTGCCCTGAAGGTGCAGAGCCCTGGGTTCAATCCCCAGTATTAAGGGAAAAATAATCACCTTTTAGACATGATATGAGAGATGATAAATAAATTGTTGTGGTTTCAGAATTGAGGCATCGTAGTGAAGGGTGGCAAAGGCTAGAATGCCCAAAAGATGTCAATTTTCTAAGCTGACAGCTGCTATTTAAAAAAATCTGTCTACCTGCCAAACAATCAGCATTATTTTTGAATGCTGGTAATTTAGCTGCAAGACTGTATTGGCCCATGGAATAAGGAGTTGTGAGAAAGGCACTCCCCCAAAGTATAGATGCAGAGTAACCAGCCAGTTCTGTGGTGTATTTCTGTAACACTCAGGAACTTATACACTATGGAGAGGATGGGCAGTTGAATTCCCTGCAGGAGTTAGTGAAGTTCCATGTAGAAGCCTGATGATTAATGTTTGCTATCATTACCCACTGGAGCCCCACAAGAAGTCAGCTTCAAGAATGTTATAAACAAACTAGCTTCAAGATCACAGGGAACTGAGTTCAGACATAGTGAGGCACTGATGAAAGGAAATGCTTAGCTCAATGAGGGGCTTTTCAAGTCTTGACTTCCTAGAGTTTATGTTTTTTCTCCCTGGCTTAAGAAAAATGAGAGCTCACCAGTGTTTAGTGCATGGCACAGATGGTCTGGGGGTGGAAGGTAAATGTCACTTTCTGTAAGGTTGTAGAAGGCTCAGCCCCTGAGTGCCTCTCACCTCTCTAGAGGTTTCCTGCCATACCCACACAGCTAAACTGTTTAGGGGCTTGCTATTGGACTCTTCACTGAGAGTATATTTTACTCTGCACTGTCTCACCTGAAAGAACTGTTCAGCCAGAACTTACTTTCTGGTTTTCTGCCCATAACCAACTTTTCATAAGAGCCCCTTCCTGAGAGCCACAGCTCAGGCCTCAGGTAACCGCTCACCTTGGCCTTGGTGACATTCACCTTGTCAGGGTTTCCTGATTGTTCTTTCTGTAGGCCCCTTCCCAAACATTCTAATCCTGCACCCTTGCTGTGACAAGCCCCAGCCTCTACCAATTTTCCTTAACTTTCTCCTTGGTCTCTGGATTTGATTGAATTTGTCACTCTTTTGGCTTCAAGCTCAAGCCATGAACCTGGACAGGATCCTAGAGTTGATCAAGACCACTTGTTTTTGTACATACAATCTATAGTTTCTGTAGCTTTCTACTTCAGTTTCAGAAAACCCTCTCTTGAATCTCTTTTGCTAGAGTATATGAAGAGACATATTGGAGACTTCTCCAAATCTACACACACACACACACACACACACACACACACACACACACACACGCATGCACGCACGCACGCACTCGGCTTCCAGTGATGCCCTTGTTTAAGCAGGACGATAAGCACAAGAGACAGTTGGCTTAAACTAAGAAAACTAACAAATTGAGGAGGGATATTTATTCTTTCGGTATGTTCTGGGCCTGCTATTTCTGTTCAAGAAAAAAGGAAGGCGGTCTGGGTGTTACGGTATATGCCTATAATTCAGGCAAGTTAGTAGGTGGAGGTAAGAGGTTCTCAGCTTTTAGGCCAATCTAGGCAAAGTTAGTGCAAGGCCCTAGCTGCAAAACTAAAATAAAAAGGGTTGGAATTGTGGTTTAGAAGGCAGAGCACTTGCCTAGTAAAGTTGAGTCCTTGAGTTTAATCCCCAGAAGAAAAAGTAAGCAGAATGGGGAAGGGAAAAAGGAAGGAAGGAAAGGGGGAGAGGAGGAGAGAGGGGGGAGGAGAAAAGAAAGAAAGAGAAAAAAGGAAGTATGGTAGATTGTGGCTTTATTTCAGGAATCTTATTACTAACTAACCTGCTAGTGAAATATCTTCACTACTGTCACAAGTGTGAGATGACTTCTCCAGCTCATGCAGGAATCTAGGCTGTAGTGCCATATGAACATGATAGAACTTCATCGTGCAAAATCTGGAAGGTCATGGGATGTGTCCAGGACCTGCCCTGTAAGTTAGTCAAGAAGGGCAGGATCTGTGATCTTCATTAGAAAAGTCTGGATGTGTTCTTTGAGGTTTTTATGACATAGAAGACTTTGACCAGCTCTAGAATTACCTGAAGCTGAAGGGCTGAGGAGCCTCTCTCTGCCCTATAGATGAGGTTTAGTACCACAATGGTTTCTGGAGGAGTGAGAAAGAGGGGAGCATGTTTTGGGGAATGTTTCCAGGTAGTAAGACACTGAGGCTTTGGTGGGTGGAGCCCAGACAGAGTAAGTACTTGGCTGTGGTGCATTAGATATTGTCTGTATGATGTAGCCTCAAGTAAATGCTAGTGATCTGCTGCTCCCCTGCAGAAAGTACTGGCTAGAATTACATATGATTTAGCCCTATAAGAGACCTTTAAGATAACCTGGGAATTGTTTTATAGCTATTTGTGCAGGGTCAGCCAGGTGGATCTTGGTCATAGCCTGCAGGCCAACAATGAGATTTTTTCTTTTTGGCCTAAAAGCTTTCAAACTAGGTGTGACTCACTCCTCATTCCCTCATGCCTGCCTGCCCACCATCCTCATTCCCTCCCCTCCCACCCTCCCTTTTAATGCCTGGCTAGGATTTTCTTGATATGCTACCAAGAAGAGTGTTTTATAGGAAATGCCATGACTGAATAAAGGCGAGGTCACATGCCACTAATGCTGAACTGGATACAATGTTATTAGAATAAAAATAAAACTTTCCCCATTTTAATGTATTCTTATGGTAGAAATGCAGTGGCAAAAATGCTAGATTCAGCTCAAACCTTTAATTCTAGCTAACTCAGGAAACTGAGATCTGAGGATCTTGTTACACAGCTAGTCTGGGCAGGAAAGTCCATGAGACTCTTATCTCAAATTTACTACACACCCCTCCCTCTTCCCCCACTCCCCCCCAAAAAAAAATAAAATCAGAAGTGGAAATATGGATTAAGTGATAGAATACCAGCCTTTAGCAGAGAAAGCTAAGGGTCAGCATCTAGGCCTTCAGTTCAAGTCCTAGCACTGCCACAACTATGTCTTATTCCAAAAAAAAAAAAAAATATCAAATGGAATATTTATTGTAATGCTTTGAAAGAATATTCATGTTTTTCCATATGAAAATTTCAGATGCTTATCTTATCCTGAAATTAGAAGTTACATCCTCCCCAATGGAAACTTTATACTACAATGAAATATGATTCATTTGCACAAAATATAGGGCCTTCATAAATGCATTCCTTGCACAGCCCATCCTCTCTTGGACCAGGCTCACAGTCAGGAAGGAGGACTGAAGTGAGCCCTGACTAGCATCCATCTGCTCAAAACAGATGTGAAAGTGATGCTTGTTGGATTTCAGGAAGCTGCAAAACAGTGCATGGGTCCCATGAGATCCCTTTGCAAACAAGCCTTTTGTTTTGTTTTGTTTCTGTGCAGCTTATTTATCTCTTCTGTCACTGGGAAAGAAGATGAGGATGGGCAGAGAAGGCCAGGCTACCTTATGAGGCTTATCTGTGGAAATGACTTGACTCCTAATTCTTGCTTGTCCACTAGCAGATTAGCAATAATGCTCATAGCTCTTTTTGTCAAGTAGCTTTGAGACTGCAAGTGAGTCCCCAGCACTCAGATAGGGTCTAGAACACAAAGAGATCTTTATTAAATATTAAATCAGTCTGTAGAGTTAGCTGGAATATTGTTACTTTTTGTTTGTTTAAAATGTCTTCCTGAGGGGCCGGGAATGGGGCTCAGTGGTAGAGAGCTTGCCTCGAGTGCCTGAGGCCCTGGGTTTGTTTCCTCAATACCACATAAACACAGAAAGCCAGAAGTGGTGCTGTGGCTCAAGTGGTAGAGCACAGCCTTGAGCTGAAATGCTGAGGGATAGCGCTTAGGCCCAGAGCTCCATGACCAACAAAAAAGAAAAAAAAATGTCTTCTTGATTTTTATTTTATGGAAAATAATTTTTTAATCCTGCAAGCCAAATTTTATAACATTTTCTTTTTTCTTTTTTGTCTGTTGTGGGTCTTGAACCCTGGGCCTGGGTGCTGTCCCTGAGCTCTTCAGCTCAAGGCTAGCGCTCTACCACTTGAGCCACTTCCAGTTTTGGGGTGCTTAATTGGAGATAAGAGTCTCACAGGCATTCCTGCCTGTGCTGGCTTTGAACTTCGATCCTCAGATCTCAGCCTCCTGAATAGCTAGGATTACAAGCATGAACCACCTGCACCTAGCACCTTTTCTTTTTTATGGTGGGGAAATTGGTGGGAAGAAACTTTCAATACACTGCCTGCTACTCTGTTAAGTTTCTAAATGGAAAACTTTGTTCTGCCATCTGTTGACTAACAGAAATGATTAAGACCTTTGCTTTCATGTGGAGTGTTACTATGTAGCCTGAAGTCTTACTGTGTAGCCCAGTGTAGGAGGCTTTAGCTGCCTGCACTGGGATTTCTTTTTTTTTTGGTCAGTGATGGAGCCTGAATTCTGGGCCTGGGCACTGTCCCTTCGCTCTTCAGCTCAAGGCTAGTGCTTGAACCATAGCTCCATTGAGCCATAGCACCATTTATGGCTTTTTCTACTTATGTGGTGCTGAAGAATTGAAGCCAGGGTCTTATGCATGCAAAGCAAGCATTGAGCCACCTTCCCAGCCCCTTCATTATTTTTTAATCCTCTCTGAGAAGGGCCCAAGGGAGGGAAAGATAAAAGTGAAATCAGAAAGTTATCCTGGCTTTTGAGTGGGTTTATACAAAAGCCAATACTGAAAATCAATACAGACGACCAAGACACATCTTTCTCTAATTGCAGACTTCTCTTGGCATAAGATGATTCCACAAAAAAAAGATGCAAGCTATTGAACTGGCCCTCCTCATATTTCAAAATCTGCAGATGCTCCAGTTATATTTATTTAGATTCTATATACTTTAAATTATCTCCAGATTATTTATCTACCTGACACAATGTTAGTATTATGTAAATGGCGGCTATACTAGATTGTTTAGGGAAAACAGGACAAGGAAAAAGAATCTGCACCTTTTTGGTAAGGAATCCACCCATACTCTTAGATATTTTTTATCTGAGGTTGGTTAAATCCACAGGTGAGGATAAGGAGGGTAATGTGTTTTCATTGAAAGATGGAGACTAGAGGTGCAGTGAGCCTGTCACTGGACGTGGCCAGCCAGTTTTCTCCTTTGTTCCAGGTGACATAAAGTGTTACTGTGCCCTGCTGACTTTTTGTTTGTTTCTTAGCTTGACATCAACAACAAGATCGAGCTCTGATGCTCTGCAGGGGCGGTATGCAGCTCCTGAACTAGAAGTAAGTTGCTTTCCTTTTCCTGTCCTGCTTCAACACAAAACTCATTTCTCAGAGGAGGCCCTTTTGTGTTTGTTTTTATTTATCAATCTGCACTCCATAATCCTGTTCTTTTGCTCGGGAAAGAATATGTGAATATGTATAGAATATGTATAGAAATAGGTATAGAAAGAATATGTATAGAAAAAGAAATATTGTTCCACATACACATTGTGGTATTAAAATGAATGAACTAATTTTTGACTTTCCTCCAACAATGTTGGCCTCTGTTGGCAGCCTGTTGCCTGTCCGCCATCAAACAGAATTCAGGTAACTTTGTCAGGCTTCACCTTGGTCTTTTCTGTGGCTGAAATAGAATATGGGTAGAGTTTTTGATTTACCCTCCAGATACAAGATGTCTAGGAGGTTTTGTAATAGCAGTTCTGAAGGATAAGAGACATAAAAGGGAAGGCACTGTGTGTGTTCTGTGCAGATGCTGCTGACTGCAGTAGATGCATCAACTCCCTTAACCCTGATCAGTTCCATTAGGCACATATGTCATTGGGTAAAGAATTAAGAACAAGAAGCACATTGGTGAGCCATTTACCTGAATGTCCACAGCTGCTGGGTCGATCTGTTATTTTCTTTGTTGTACAGAAGTCTTCTTCTGTACATATACCATAGTCAGAAGGATGTACTCAGGTGAAGGAAGTTAGAAAAAGAGTCAACCCCAAGAATGGCAAGGTCTGAGGATCCTCCTGATGGCTATCATGTATGGCACTAGCCGGGTGCCAGGCACCGTGTATTCTTAGCCTTACCCAAGTGGTTTCATTTAATCCTCATGGAAGCATATTTAGTTGTTTTAATATTCACTGCACTGAGGAGACAACTGAAAAAGATAAGTGATTTATTCTTGCCACTTCCTTTTGCCAGGGTGTGGCCCAGAGTCTGTTCTTGACCAGCTGTTCAGGGACTCAGTTGCTCTCCTCAGTTGCTGTTGCCCTTGCCTGGCACCCAGCCACTGGCTCTACTCTGATGTCTTTGTCTGATGGAAGAACCCTGGTGTCTGTCCAGATAAAGGACAGTCTTTTTACTCTGCAGCTGGATGTCTGGGGATGGTCTTTCCTGAACCTGACCCAAAGATAGTGGGACATTATGAAGGTTTGTCACTCTGCCAACATCATTTACCAGCTTACTCAGTCCCTTAAAGGATGGGTTTGAATAGGTTGCTGCTTGTATACTGAAGAGAATGGGCTCTAGAAGGCAGGCACTTGTTCTCACCACTGACTACATGGCCACCTGCTGAGGGTGGACTATTATACTTTCAATGTCTCTGTTGTGTACAGAGTTCAAGCTCAAAGAACAGCTAGTCTCTAGGTTAGATTTAAGAGAGGAAATTGTTCTCATTGGGAGGGGAAACCTAGTGTTTCCCTCTAAGCAAGTGGTTTGCTCTCCTGCTCTTACATTTCACAGGATACACATTTAAAAGAGGGAGTTGATATTTTCTTGTGGTAATTCAAGTTTTAAAAGATCTCAGCCCACTTGGGCTCACAGAGTGGTAGGCCACATCACATGACCCAAAATTTGTCAAGGCTGATGCCTCTATTCAATCAAGTTTCCTTGCTGTGCAGGAAGGAAATAAGGGCTTTGCCTTGAACTGTACAAATGGAACAAAGGCCCAAGATCCCACATCCTCAGCCCTGGCTCCATTTTGTTTGTTTGTTTGTTTTTTGGTTTTGTTTTTTTGATAATTCAAATATCTTCTACTATTAAGTAGCAAGAACCCAGACTATCACTCTTTATGTAATGTAGTTGTTTTTTGCAGTTTCATTTCTTTTCATTAAGTTTATTGTTTTGAATAAGCAAAAGATAGGATATAAAACTTAAAAGGCTAGCCGGGCGCTGATGGCTCACAACTGTAATCCTAGCTACTCAGGAGGCTGAGATCTGAGGATCGCGGTTCAAAGCCAGCCCGGGCAGGAGAGACTATGAGATTCCTATCTCCAATAAACCACCAGAAAACCGGAAGTGGCGCTGTGGCTCAAGTGGTAGAGCGCTCACCTTGAGCTGAAGAGCTGAGGGACAGCGCCCAGGCCCAGAGTTCAAGCCCCACGACCGACAAAAAAAAAAAAAAACTTAAAAGGCACTGAAGATGTTTCAGAGGCAAGCAATCCTATCCAGCCATGTCCACAGCCGGTTCAGCAGCCTGACTGTATAGGAAACGTGCAGGCCTTGTGCTTCCAAACTCTGCACTGCTCCCGATCTCCCTGCTGAGACCACATGTCACTCACCATGAGTCATGGACTTAGAGTCTCCATCCTGCATTTGGGTCCCAGCTCTGTCACTGGCTAATTTTGGCACTTCAAGCTTTTAACCAATTAGATCTCAATTTCTTCCGTTGCGAACAGGATAGTAACTCTAGGCTCAAAAATTGAAGAGGTTTTAAGGAAACAGCCTGGTAAGCAGTGCACTAAAAGGAAATGTGAGGAGAGCAGGTCCTTGTGCTCTCCACTGTATGTTTTAGGTTGAATCTTTCAGAAGTAGAAACTGAGGCGAGTGTGCCAGGAAGGATACATATCAGTAGAATGAGGAAGATAGGGACAGAATCAGGTAGAGGATGAACAGAAAGGGCAGTTCAGGCTGAACAAAGCTTCACTAATCCCAGGGGTTGTATCAAGGGATAGTGATCTCTCGAGAGTGTCCAGTCTTGAAGGCTGGGCCTTCTTCATTATTTGGTGGCGGATGCCCAAGAAGGGCTTACTGTAGCTTAGAGCAGCTCTGTAGCTGAACAAGTCTAAAAGAGCCTCCATCTGGAGACTGTGCTCCCGGCAATCACAGTAGCTGGAGTGAGTCCCCATCCCTTTGAAGGGCTCTTGAGTGGCACATCCTCTTGCCATGGTATTCCCTGTCACCAGTACTCAACATACCAGAACAAAAACAGATGCTTAGCCAAACTTTTTAAGGGGACACGAGATATATGGTTTTAGGGCTCCGGTTTTACCATTTTCTATTCCAATAAAAAAGCAAAAGCTTGGGGCTGGGAAGGTAGCTCAGTGGTAGAGTACTTGCATTTCATGCATGAGACCCTGGGTTCAATTCCTCAGTACTACATATGCAGAAAAAAGCTGGAAGTGGCACTGTGGCCCAAGTGTTAGTACTAGCCTTGAGCTGAAGAGCTGAGGGACAGCAGCCAGGCCCAGAGTTCAGGCCCCATGACCGACCAAACAAAAAAAGAAAGAAAGAAAGAAAGAAAACTCTACCTATTAGTGGGGTGACAGGAAACTGCAGGCATCTCACTAAGTTGTCTTTGATCTCACAGGTAGCCCGGTGTTGTTTTTGCTTTGGTTCCGATGGAGAGGGTAAGTGGAGTACTTTCATCCTAGACCTTGCCATGGCTCTGTAGACTGGTCCTTCTCACTGTAGGCAATTGCAATTCAGACACTTAAATAGCTTGACTGGAAGGGGAATTTAAATCTGGCTTATTTTTTATATTCTTTTTACATTCTTCTTTAAGGGGTGGCTGGGTTTGTTGGTTTCTGGCAGAAAAATCACTATTCATATTGAAATTAAATTATACAGTGAAAAAAATCTATATACTTTTAATGGAATGGTCTAGAAAATACCAAGTTGTCCCAATAGCTCATTTTGGGGGCCCTAGCCTTCAACTTTTCTTCTTGGAAGAGATATCGGGGCCTTGAGAACTCTATGGGAACTCCTACCTTCTGTCAACTTCTGATGTGCTTATAGTCTTAAGGGCTTTCTTCTGCTCTCCCAAAATAAATGTTCTTGGTAATTCATCTGGTCTAGGAGTCCCGAGGTGTGTCAGAGCAGTCTTGTGGTCAGGACACAGATAGAGGTTACAAATGTCTACTCAGCAGCCCCTGAACTGCAATGGGTGAGTGTATCATTGTAAAATGGAACGGTGCATGTGTTCACTCATTGCACTTTGCTTCCCTTGGATTCACAGAAACGGAAGAGCAGCAGAATGTGAAAGAAGGACCACGGGTCATTTATGATGAGAAGAAAGGCACTGTCTACAGCTATGCCTATTTCCACTTCGTGTTCTTATTGGCTTCCCTCTATGTAATGATGACTGTTACCAACTGGTTCCAGTAAGTGGCCTATTTGATTATTAAGAATTAAGTTATGTGCTATTTTTTTTGGGTGGGGTGGGTTGGTTAGGATTTTTTTAGTTGCTCTTGTTGCAGTACTGAGGTTTGAACTTAGGACCTTGATTTGCTAGGGATGCTCTACCAACTTGAGCCATCTCCCCATTTTGCTTTAGTTTTTCAAATAGGTTCTCACACATATGCCCAAGGTAATTTGGACCATGATCGTCCCATTTACTTTATACTTCTGTGTAGATGGAATGACAGGCTTTCACCGCCATGCTCAGTTTTTATTACTTGAAATTGAATCTTGTGAACTTGTTTCCTCTGGCTGGCCTCTATAGTTCTTCTACTCTCTGCCCCCAGAATAGCGTGGAATAGCCCATCTTCCTAGAGTCAGCTAAGCTCTTCTGCAGGTCTTACTATATATACAGCCTTCTTAACAAATAATTCAGAGTTCTTACCACTGGATTGACATCCTTTGTACCCTGGATATTGATGGTGCTCATTGCAGCTTTAAAAAAGCAGATAATTGCTGGTAGTATAGTTCAGTGGTAGAGCATATTCTTAGCTGTGAAAATTCAAGATTCAGCCCCTGGGTTGAATCCCAGAACAAAATAAAACACCCAGAAACAAAATAAAACAACCACCCAGGAACAAAATAAAATAAGAAAGAAAAGTTTAACTCTATATGGCAGTCTGAAAAACATAGTAGTAACTGAAGAAAAAAAAATCCCTTTATTTTTTGTGAAAGAGAAACAATGCCTTGTTTCTGCTTCAGATATTGTATATCTCTTTCCCCCTGCCCATTTTTCAAATTTCTAGTAAATCTAACTTTCCTCATCCCTCATCCCTCTGTGGACGTTCACGCTTTTGTATAGATTCTAAGTTTCAGTTATTTCACAATAGCTGGATTAATAATTTAGGATAAATTCTGTTCATTGGATTGCTTTTATTCAGGAGGTGGCTCCTGTGTGCCGCCCAGGGTTTATCATCCAAGAGACAGACTAGGATCCAAAGTGATTGCAGGGTGTCAGTGAGGATGACCTGGAGACACGTCTTCCTGACAGAGGAGAGGATGTGTTTTAGTGCTTTCTCATGATGCTTTGAAAATCCCTAGGCAGTTTTGGCTCATAAGAAGGGATGGAGGAAGCTGTAACTATAAAAGCAGATAGTAAAAAATGTACAGAAATTAGAATTCTCACTTTGCCGGTAAGAATATAAAATTCAGCTGGGTTGGGAAACGGTCTGGCAGTTTCGTAAATAGTTAAACATAGGGTTGCAATATGTCTCAGTAATTTCATTCCTAAGTACATACCCAAGATGCAAACAAAAATATGTCCATACAAAAATTGTATACAAATGCTTAAGGCAGCATAATTTTTTTTTGGGGGGGGTGGGGTGGGGTCGTGGGGCTTGAACTCTGGGCCTGGACACTGTTCCTGAGCTCTTCAGTTCAAGGCTAGCGCTCTACCACTTGAGCCACAGCACCACTTCCAGTTTTCTGATGGTTTATTGGAGATAAGAGTTTCACGGACTTTCCTGCCTGGGTTGGCTTTGAACTGTGATTCTCAGATCTCAGCCTCTGAGTAGCTAGGATTACAGATGTGAGCCACCAGTGCCTGGCTGGCAGCATAATTCTTTTTTTTTTTTTTTGGGTCTGGTTGTGGGGCCTGAACTCTGGGCCTGGGCGCTGTCCCTCAGCTCTTCAGCTCAAGGCTAGCACTCTACCACTTGAGCCACAGTGCCACTTCCGGCTTTTTTCTTATGTGGTGCTGAGGAATCGAACCCAGGGCCTCGAGCATGCAAGGCAAGTGCTCTACCACTGAGCCACCTTCCCAGCCCCTGGCAGCATAATTCTTAACAGCCAAAAATGTTCTTCTGCTGATGAATGGAAAAATATTAGCAATAAAAAGGAATAAAGAAGCTGGGCGCCAGTGGCTCATGCTATAATCCTAGCTACTCAGGAGACTGAGATCTGAGGATCATGGTTCAAAGCCAGCCCGGGCAAGAAAATCTGTGAAACTCTTATCCCCAATAAACCACCAGAAATCGGGAAGTGGCGCTGTAGCTCAAGTGGTAGAGTGCTAGCCTTGAGCTAAAGAGCTGAGGAACAGTGCTCAGGCCCAGAGTTCAAGCCCCACAACCGACCTCCCTACCCCCCACCCCCCCAAAAAAAAAAGAAGGAATAAAGTACAGAGTATGTGTCCCTAACTCAAAAGTCTAAACTGCTCTGAAATCTTGACATGACAGTCAAACAATATTTTGGAACATTTCAGATTTTGGACTTGCTTGGCTCTTAACATCTATGTAAATATTCTAAAGTCAGAAAAACTACTTCTTATCCCAAGCATTTCAGTTAAGAGATACTCTTCCTACAACATGGAAGAGCCTTGGAAACAATTCAGAGTAGAACAAACAATCATAAGAGGCCACATGATTGCAGGCATATGCAATGGCCAAAAAGGCAGATCTACACAGGAAGTAGGTTAATAAATGCAAAGTGATGGGAGGTAGTAGGAATGGCAGGGCAGCTGAGAGTGTTCTAAAATTGATTGTGATGATTGCACAAGTCCATTAATATATTAAAAAGTCATTAAGTTGTATTTTTGAAAAGAGTATGAATTATATCTCCATTGAGTTGCTGAAAAGAAAGGAGAAGGAAGGATATTAGGAGCTGGAGATGGGGAGGCACTTGGTAGCCTTCTGCTCCCACCTTCTGCTCCTGCTCTGACCACAGCCGGGTGTCTTGTTTCCCACAGCTATGAGAGTGCCAGCATTGAGACCTTCTTCAGTGGAAGCTGGTCCATCTTCTGGGTGAAGATGGCCTCCTGCTGGATGTGTGTGCTGTTGTACCTGTGGACGCTGGTGGCTCCCCTCTGCTGTCCTTCTCGGCAGTTCTCTGTGTGACAACATCAGCAGGCCTGTGGATCAGCAGGCTTGTACCCTGAAATTCTGTCCTGTGAACAAGTGTAACTGGGGTTTGAGCGGCAACTGTTGTCTTAGGAAAAGCTGAAATTCTCTGGCTGTCTAACATGGGTCTGAAAAAGGTTTCGGGGTGGGAGGGAAATATCCCTGGATTCACTTTTTTAAACAAGAGATTAATTAATTAGATTAATTTTCTGACATTCAAAATGAAACTTGACCTAAAGGAATTGACATTTTCAAATTTATGGGTAGTATATGTATTCTTATGTCTTCTCCCTACTTACTAGGTAGTAGTTACATTCGTGTTTTCCATAGATGTGTTTTATACCAAAATAGAGCTTAGAACACAACACATTTTCCTAGGGTTAAAAATTACTGTATTGTTTTCATCCTTATTATTAAAAATATGCAGCCTCTGAGAGAATCTAGGCCCCTTGCCCCTTTATTCTCCTCTGCCTCCTGGAGCCTGGTCTCCAGAGGATCCCAGCTCGCAGCTTCCTGGTATTTATAGGGCACAAGAGGAAGCACCTGCCTTCAAATCCACCCCCAGTGCCACTCCTGTGTGTTCCCCTCCCCCACCCCCAGCATTTCCCTTTGAGGTTGTGATGCTGGCAATCACAGCCTTCCCTCTTTGCCTCATTGGTCCCAGAGGTCTCCTCATTCTTTTGGGGTTCAGCATTTTTGTAATAATGTGAAAAGCACAATTTACCATCACCGCTCTTGGGGTTCCTACCATATTATCACTCCATGATCAGAGTTACTGCAATAAGCAAAGCGCTTATCTGTGCTGCTGTCCCCAGTTGTGGAACAGCACTCATATTATCTTTGCCTCAGCAACAGAGGGCTACGTTCTTCCTTGTTTGTGCTATTAATAATACTTTAAGAACCTTAAAAGAAAAGTCATTCCTTGACTGAAGCCTGCTACCGCCCTTTCAGGTATTAAGGTCAGCCTCTCATTTCTCGTCCACTTCAAGTCCTTGGTTGGCATTGTAGGAGCAAAAGAGCTTGCAATATGAGCACACCATTAATGTCCGCATGCTTTCCTTGGAGTAAATGTGTGAAGAGGTGTATCCCGAGGCTGTTCCTCAATCGGACTGGTCAGACATACTGTCAGTCAAGCTGTGGAAGGGACCATGTATACTTAGAAGAAAAGCTGGCTGGTTGAAGGCATTTAATTAAGCCATACATGACATCCACAGACAAGATCGGCATCTTCAGTATTGATGTTTTCAATGCGGCAGGAGATTTTCTCTGTGGAAGTCTATTGGAGATATTTCTATTATTGTTACGTATAGGGTGGAAAGATTCTTCCTGAGCTCAGACATTTTTCCTGTGTTCTTCTGTACACATTGGGCTAAGTGGGGACACACCTAAGCCTAGCTTCGGCGTGCCAAAAATGCTGGAGGGGAAAATTAGTTAAATTCTTGCTTTCTACTCCTTTGACCTCCTTGCCAAGAATACCAAAGAGGAGGGGATGAATATTGGGGAAAATTCCATTGGGCATTTGCCTTATTTGCCAGTGTTTGAGATTCAGTCTTAAAAAGTCATGTATGAGTATATGTGCACATGAGAAAGCTTTGTTTGTCACCTTTATCAAAGTTCTTTTTATAGACCAGGAGTTCAAAGGGATTTGTACTTAACGGTTCAAAGGAATAGCTTCATGCTAACCCTGAGAAGCCCTGGTTAAGCAGCAGGAAGGGAGTTCCTTGAGGTTCAGAAAGTGGAGACTGTATGTGGTCCTTCCCTGGCCTGAGAGGCCTGGGGGGCCGGGGGCAATGATTTGGAGGGATGGCTCTGAGGAGCTGAAGTCAACTTTAGGAAGCAAATGGAGAGCCCAAGGGGTGGTATGAGGAGTAAAACCCTGATTTGTTTTCTGGCATCCAGCTAACATAACTTTAGACCTGGCCCTCATTCTAGGTCAAGGCCCACTGACCAGGCCAGACATTGCTACACTTGCCTTTGTTGGCCACATTTCCTCTGCAGAAAGAAGTTCAGAGAAATACAAACGAGAGGACAGTGCTGGTGGCGCTCATTGTTACCCCTTCCTCAGCCAGCCAGCCCATTCTCCTTTTCCAGCTACGTAAATTCTGGTCTGTAGCATATGTCTCTTCTAATTGTAATCTCTGGCACAAGAGGAAGAGTTACACTTGCTCTCCATCTCACTGGCAAGATTTTTTCTGAGGGCTGAGAGTACGTATGTACATCTGTATGTATGTAAGAAGTTGACTTTACTAACTATAATCATAAGAAACAATTCTCAGGTGTTAAGTCAGCATTCATAAGTTTAAGAAACCTACCTTTTGAGCTTGGTGCCACTGGCCTCATGCCTGTCAGCCTAGCTACTAGGAGGCTGAGATCTGAGGATCTTGCCCAGCCAGGGCAGGAAAGTCTGTGAGATTCCCTATCTCTAATTAACCACCAGAAAATTGGAAGTGGTGCTGTGGCTCAAGTGGTAGAGCACTCACCTTGAGCTGAAGCACTCAGGCCCAGAATTCAAGCCCTACAACCAACAAAAAAAAAAAGAAATGAGTGCAAGAAAGGAAAGGAGGAAGGGAGGGAGGAAGAGAAACCTACCTTTTGTGCTGTTACAACTTAAACTGGAAAATGTGTGCCCGTTGCTTCGTGTTTTGATGACAATAGTATTTGATTAACCCATGAATACTCTTTTTTTCTTTCTTTTTTAAAATAACACACCTTTGCTTTCTACAAGTCTTCGTAGCTAATTGTGAAAGTGCATTCCCCAAAGCTGCTGGGTCAGATTCCCTTAGTCATGGAAGCTGAAGTTTTTAAAAGAACAAAAGGTGTGTTTCTTTTGTGCTCTGCATTTGTGGGAAATAAGTGCTGCACTCATTTTCATGAGTAAAACACTTAAGCTTAGGGAGGGGGGAATCCTACAGGGGTGTAGTTATGCTTAGAGACATTACCCAACTCAAAACTTGATAGTATTTTCTATCATAATCCATCAAAGAAACTTACCACACCCTTACTGGGTCAAGCTTTTGTAATAATAGATGGTTAGTTTTGGTTTTAACCTCACAGTTTCTTGGGAAATCCTCTTGAGGATTTGTTTTGCCAGAAGTGTTTGGAGCTTTTAATAGAGTACGTAGATTTGACAAGGAGAGGTCGAGGTGGGTATTGAGTCTTGGGGAGTTCTCTTCCCTGCAGAGGGGTCCCCACTTACGGAATTGCGTACTTTTACTTCCTCTGAGGCCTTTGTGACAAGTGACCTCAGTGTAGTGTTCATTCCCTGCCTCCTCGTCCTGTTACCCTCTGCCTTTTAAAAGTGATATATGTATTTAATGTTTGGCCAGACGGTTTACCACCACCATTGGTGCTTCACGTTACCCTGAAAAGGGAATTCCTGAGCCTATATTTAAATGTCCTGGGCCCTTTTCCTTCATTTATTGCCTTTCTAAATAGTATCTCATTCTGATGTCTCCTCTTGGCAATGAAAGAGGATTTTGTCTATAATCAAGAATGGTCTCATAAGCTAGGCACCGGTGGCTCATGCCTGTAATTCTAGCTACTCAGAAGGCTGAGATCTGAGGATTTCGGTTCAAAGCCAGCCCAGGCAGGGAAGTCCGTGAAATTCCGTTCTCCAATAAGCCACCAGGAAAAACTGGACGTGGTGCTGTGGCTCAAGAGGTAGAGCACTCACCTTGGGCTAAAGAGCTCAGGGATAGCGTGCCCAGGCCCAGAGTTCAAGCCCCAGTCAAGAAGGGTTTCACCTTGAACTGAGACCCTGAACGTCTTCCATCAGGGCCAATGCATTTGCCTTTGGCTTGTGGAGTTCTCTGGGGGATTTCTGTGTAACTTGCTAGTTTAGTGAGTATTTTATTCAGCGGATAGGAGCTGCTTAATTGTGGACCTATGACTTCATAGGAAGTAGAGTTGCTCACAGACCTTAGATCTGTCCCTCTCCTCCTCCCCTCTCCCCCTTTTGTCTTCATTCACAGAAACCTTCATTTTGAAATATTTGACTTTTACCAAAGACGTAGTTTGGGTTTTTGTTTTAAAGCAAATTTCAGATAAAACTTAATTGAGGAAAAGTAAAATGCGTATATCCAAATCTACTTCCCTAGAAATGAGATCTTGCTTGTGATGGAAAAAGTCTTTCCCACTGCCCTGTGGGATAGAGGGATTCTGGGAAGTTCTCTCAGGTAAAGAAAGATTACAGCAGATACGTAATATATGTCTTGAGAGCTATTTATAAGAAATTTAAGAAGATTGTTTTGTTTTCCTTTAGTAAAGATTTAAGATTTTTTTTTTACTTTGCAAGAAAAACTACCAAAATTTTATAGTCATACTTTGTTAATTTTTTAAAATTTTTTCACAGACAATTAACTATAGCTAAATTTTGTGATTACGTTTTGCTATATTAGAATTTGAAAATGTAATATGTGTGGTAAACCTACTGTTTGAAGTTTATAAAGGTGTCTGATATGGTTAGATTTTGCTAACTGTTATAGTAGTTTTCCTCCTTTAGCCACAGAGCCAGTTATGAATTTGTATTTGATTTTTTAATTGTAGGTTTTCTATAAGCACCTGAACTTGACCCCTTTTCCTAAGTAGAAAACTCAAAGCTTGTTAACTCTGTACTTTAATAAAATGTAAAATTGAAAACCATGATGTTTGTCCCTTCGTGTTATAGACACTGCCTTCCAGTTACTGTTTTCTAAAGGTTTTGCCTTCAAATGTTAATCAAGTCTCTTTTAAGTGCTGATTTTTTAAATTGACAAAAATTATAAATAAGTATACATTCTAGAATGACTAAACCAAACTAATGAACATGTTGTCTTTTTATGGGTGGGAAAAACAGTTAAAATCTATCCTCTTGGGACTGGGAAAGTAGCTCAGTGGTAGAGTGCTTGCTTTGCATGCATGAGGCCCTGGGTTCAATTCCTCAGCAACACATAAGCAGAGAAGGCTGGAAGTGGCTCTGTGGCTTAAGCACTAGAGTGCTAGCCTTGAGCTGAAGAGCTGAGGAACAGCGTTCAGGCCCCATGACTTGGGGGGGGAGGGGGAGTCTATCAGCAATTTTAAATGTGTGTTACCCTGGCACAGGTGGCTAATACCTGTAATCCTGTCTACTCGGGAGGTTGAGATCTGAGTATGGTGATTTCAAAGCCAGACTGGGCAACCCGTATCTCCAGTTAACTACCAAAAAACCAAAAGTGGAGTCATGTCAAGTGGAAGAGCACTAGTCTTGAGCAAATAAAATTCAAGGACAGTTCAAGTCTTAGGACCAGGACACTCCCCCCCCACACACACACATACACTCATACTTATTACTATTCTTACCATATTGTACTGTAGCTCTGTTGAACTTCTCCTAACTGAATGTTTGTGTTCTTTTATTTGTATCAGCCAAATCTTGGAGGCCCTGATAGCCACAAGTGTACTCTTGCTTGCTTCTTTCCTTCCTTCTTCCCTTCCTCCCGGATTGAACTTAGGGCTTCATGCAAGCTAGGCAAGCTCAGTATCACTGAGTCATAACCCTCACTCTGACTTTTAAGATTCCATTTATAAGTGAGATTACATAGTATTTGTCTACCTATGTTTGCTTGGTTATTTTATTTACTTAATGCCCTCCAGGGGCATAGTAGAGTGACATGGTCATCTTGTAAAAACTTGAGATAAAAGATTTTAGCGGCTTTCTAGGGAAACATAATTTACTCTCTGAATAGCTTCCTACCTCATTCAAAGGAGTAATCAGACTTTTTACAGGAACTAGCCAAACCCTCCATGTTCTAGTGCCTACCTCTGCTTCAGAGACCTCTGATGAAGCTTTTATCATCCTCCCCCTTGCATGCTCTGTGCCAGCATTAGTTCAAGTTCATGAAGTGTGTGCCTGCTTGTAATCTTCCAGTTATTCTTTGCTTATTGAAGTGCTTCTCTCTTGGATTGCCGTGGGCTTCTCTCTCTCCATCCTCACCACTCTAGGATTTCCAACTCTCCCAGGATCCCTGCTTTATTCCGGTAATGTTCACCATCCAACCTGTTGTTCCCGTTGTTATCATTCATTCATTCGTTCGTTTACTTTGTCTTTCCTCACTGCAGAACACAAGCTCCCTGAGGGCAGGCCCTTCCCAGCCTTCTGACCTGGTCTTTCTCGTAAAGATTAACTGTGGGTTAAATAGAATTGGAGTCCTTGAAAATGGCTTTGTGTCTCCTTTCTATCTCCTTTCTGTGTCCTATAAAGTTGTGGCACCAAAGATTTCGTATCCTAAAGTTTTAGAGTTCCATCCTTATTTCCTTATTCTTTACAGTCCTCTGCACTCATAATGTTGTTAGGCAGATTGTGGTTTGTCCACTTATCCTACCACCTGCGAGTTCTATATGCCACAATTCCCTGACTGCCTGCTTTCCTACTGACTCCTATCCATGTCAGAGATATCAGAGGTGCCCAACAACTAGGAAGTGACTAAGTAAATGAACAAATAAATGGGTGAGCAAAAGGACTGGGGAATGTTGGTAATGAAAGACAAAGCTGAAGAGGTTTGGTGCCCTGTGATGGGCTGGTGCTGATTGAATTGTCTAAGCTATTCATCTGGCAGTGCATATGGAATGGGGTGATAGTATGTAATGGAGGGCATGTTTTAGACATGTAAACTTAGGTGCTGGGAAGCAGGAATTTGAGTGTCTGAACTTTAAGCATATCAAGATTTGAGGCTATAGCACAATAGAAAGGCACATGCTTACCATACTCATATTCATTGGCCAGGGAAATATAAGCAATGTTAGCATGTGTTAATAATGTCTTTAAATGGGGCTGGGAAGGTGGCCCAGTGGTAGTGTGCTTGCCTTGCATGCATGAGGCCCTGGGTTCCATTCCTCAGCACCACATGAGCAGAAAAAGCCAAAAGTGGGGTTGTGGCTCAAGTGGTAGAGCACTAGCCTTGAGCTGAAGAGCTGAGGGACAGCGCCCAGGCCCAGAGTTCAGGCCCATCACTGACCAAAAAAAACCCAAAACAAAAACTCTACTAGAAAAACACAATTAATATGAAAGTAATGTTTACCTTACTAGATATCAAGATTTGTTTCACCAAATTATCAAGTAATGTTGAAGTAATGATCAAGTTCACCAACTTATCAAGTAATGTTCTAAATGTTAAAGATGACTTTGAGGAAATTGGCATTTTCCTATGTTGTGGTTCAAATTGCCTAGGACATTTAGCAATATATATCAGATCTCGTAAAAATAGCATACCAAGTTGGGCATTGTTTTCCTACCTACTCTGAAGATCTGTTTGAAGCCAGCACTGATTGAAAAGTCTGTGAGATTCTTATCTCCATTTAACCACCCCCAAGAGCCAAAGTGGATCTGTGACTTGTAGAGTGTTAGTCTTGAACAAAAAAAGCTCAAGGAGAGTGCTC